AAATGATCCGTTATAGGCTGAACCATTTAACAATACCTAAAATAATGAGTATTAGATGTACAAAATTGAAAAAAAAAATCTAACATTATGAAAATGTATATCAAGATATAAAACCACACATTTTCAATCCGTGTTGATTGGAATTACTCATATAATATGTATGAAACAAAATAATCTAGCACATGCATGGTGTCCAGTCCCCTGCATTGAATCCAATTTAGCAGTCCGTCTCATGCGTTGAGCGGCAAATTATATTGGGCGACAGAGCTAATTACATAGCAGGTTAAACAGATGAGTAGACGATAAGGACCAGGCAGTGGTTACACATACTTGCGGCAGATCATCTTCAGCCTGTTCGCTCGGTCGTATTTGGCTTATAAGCTATGGTTTATCAGACAACGAACAATATTTTTCTCTCACACCAAACCAGACAACTATACTTTCAGTCATGGCTTATAAGCCAAACCAGCTCAAACGAACAGGGCGTTTGCTCTCATTGTGCTTGCTGGCAGGTTGATGAGGTCCCACTGCACACGCATGGTGGGGTAGCCGCCGCGGAGGCGGAGGACCAGGTGCAGAGTGGACTCCTTCTGAATGTTGTAGTCGGCAAGGAAGGGTGCGGCCGTCATCTAGGTGCTAGCTTCCCGGCGAAGATGCCGCTGCTGGTCCGGCGGGATGCCTGCATGCAGATTAAAATCCAAGCAAGCAAGGCAGTCAACAATGTCTACTTTGGGCAAATTGGAAGGGTAGTTAATCGATCTAATAAACAAGAAAAAGGTTGGAAGAGAGATCAAGGAGACAATGGATGGATCACCTTCCTTGCCTTGACGGTGTCAACTGTGTCGCTGCTCTCAACCTCCAGCGTGATGGTCTTCCCCGTCATCGTCTTCACGAAGATCTGCATCTTCGCCGACGGCCGCGCGCTTGCTTCCCTCGATCGCTCTGCTCTCCGGCCGACCTGGCGGTTCGCGGCCATGGGAGATGAATTGTTGAGGTGATCAGATGATGGCGGCGCGGATGTACGCGTGGTCTCCTTTATAAAGAGTAGCGGTGATCGTTCGGAGGTGGGCACCCGTTATGGGAACCCTTCGCGAAACGACGGGCATGCGCGTGGCGTGGGTACGACGAGCGGTTAGGGGGCGGTTGCCGCAGAGTGGATCAGTGCGTGGGTACGACGGGTGGGTAGGGGTGGAGGGTGAGAAAAAAAAAATCCAACACAAGTCATCCGCAAGAGAGAAACACGCGTAAACGTTTACAAGTTTTCCGGCCGGGTCCGCTCGTCAGATCACGATGGATCATTTAGCGTTGGATCTGATTTTAATGTAGATCTAAGGGATAAGAATTAAGGTGGGTAGGAATATCATGGTGAGAGACTATTTTCAATTCGTTCGCTCTTTTAGTACAGATGATACGTACTACAGCATAGTATATTGCGCTAGTACTTTATAGAACTACTATAGGGATTTTTTTAGGGAGATTTTATAGAGAAATGATATACGTGCTTAGCCTGTTACTAAAGGGCACTTTTAGCTTTGTGGGCCGTATGTTTCATCTGAGCCCAGTAAATCGGAAGCTGGGGCTCCAGGTCAGGCCACATAGCATCAGCATCAACGAAGGCCCTAAACGGCCCAACTCTTCATCGTTGACAGTCGACACGGACTCAGTTGACCCAGATCTGATCTGATCTGATCTGATCTGTTCCTGTCCAGTGGGGCCCACTTACCAGTTGCCCGCGGACCTGAATGAAACCCATCCATCATCATTTCACCGCGACCGGCCAGCGTTGGGCCCGTACGGGTCCTGTCGACTGTCGCCGGCGACACGTGCGTGTGTCACGTGGCCCGTGGCAGGTCCACACGTCCACGCCACGCCGTCCAGACTCCATGGCGTGCAGGGTGCACCCAAGCATGGGATCCACTTCTCAGTGAGAGTGAGACCAACTTGGTCGGGACTCGGGAGGGTGGCACAAGTGCAGAAGCAGTTGCTGCTGCTGCCCGGTGAATATTCGCCACGTCCCGCTAGAAAATTCCGCACGCGAGGCCCGGCGGCCCAACGCCGTCCGATCAGGGAGCAGGCAGTGTGGACGGCCAGGGCTAGGTCGCGTGGATATGGGTCGTGCCCGATATGAGATATCTTTACTCGCTTCGGTGGAGATCGGAAAAAAAGCTCTCCAGCCACTATGGCCTACTATATGATATGATGGGGTATCGCCCGGCTGGAAACCTTGTCGTGTTTATTATCCTCTATCTACTCATAGCGATTTCATCGTTTTTTATTCCAAGTGTTGTGGCAGTACTTGGTCCGGATCTGAAATTTATGTGTCACACCTGCTCAATTTTTCTTTGACCGATACAGGTCGATATAATTATCCGATAACCAATAGTAAAACCAACAAAATGTTTAAGACGGAAATCGAAGTGACTGAAACTCAAGTTAACAAGTTCCACGTGCTCGGGCAAACTGATCATACATTATCTAGTTGGGTTCCTTACGATAGAACCTATCCACTCAGGTTGAAGTTCTCGATTTGGTATCTATGCTCGTATTTTTCTGAATTTATTATAGGATTTAAGGACACTATGTTTTTAGTGATAGGCGACTTCTTCGTTGACAGCAAGACGTCAGCGGTGACTTCGTGAATCTCAAATTCTTTAGAGGTGCTTATAGGGAGGTGAAATCTTGGCTAAATTATACTACTCATGAAATCACAATGTGCTATTTATTTATATTACTACTAGCATGTAGCACAATGGTACCGTTTTGGAATCATGGAATGCTTAAATCCAATGCCGGACCTTGCAACTCTCAACACATAGTTTTGCAAATAGGGTTTTATGACGTGATAATTACGATGAAGTCATGAGGATTCTTATCAAGAAATGCACACTGGGTCGTTACAAAAAAAAAGCCCTCGTTTTTTTATGTTTATTAGAATCTAACATAGAAAAGCATCGGAAGTATATATTGAGCTCACTGCTTTAATTTGTTAGCTTGGTAAAAGTCATTGGATAGCAGTGAATTTTTACACTGCTCTTGAAGTTGTTCAGTTGCTTGAGAAAGAAAAAAAGTTACTTTTAATTTGGGACAGGAAACTTATAGGGTGTTGGTTTGAAGAATGATCGAGCTGTTCTACCTCTCTCCTCACTTTTCTGTTTATTTTGTAGAACAAAATGAGTTCATACATCATTTTCTCATTCCTTAGAAGATACTCTCTTCGCCTCCAAAAGAATGCAATTCTGAAACGGTGTTATATTTCAGTATATCAAGCTTGACCTATTATAGATAAAAAAATATAAATATTTATAATATCAAATGAATATCATTAGATTAATTACCAAATATATTTTTATAATAAATTGATTTAGAGCCATAAATGTGAATACTATTTACTAGAAACTTGATCAAATATGAAGCAATTTAACTGGCATGCAACACATAGTTACATCTTTTTTAGACAGAGGTACTAATAATTTGTAGCAGTATGAAGAATAAAGTTATTATATCAAATTTGAGTAATGAATTCATGATGCGTCATCTGATCTAAAATGATTTGATTTCTCAAACCAAATACTCTTCCATCTCATAAAAAGAGTCACTATAGGACTCGTGCTGGTCAAACTTTCTTATGTTGAACTAGATTTGTAGAAAATATCAGTAACATTTATATTTTTAAATAAGTTTATTATCAAAACATATTCAAAGATCTAATACCAATCGTAATATTTTTTTTGACGTGGCATCTTTTCCTTCTCGTTTTGCCCCTAAGCCTTATCCCTTCGTTTCTTCATGATCACGGTCTTTTTGACGGGAGTTCACGGAGAGCTAGAACGAACGGGAGAGAGATGCAACGGAGACAACCTCCGCCGGCACAACTCTAGGCTCCGCCGCCACCTCTCTTCCCCGCCGGCCGCCGCCTCTCTTCCACCCACAAACCGCCGCCGCCGCAACTCCAGGCGGGCGCCAGCGCCGCCCCGACGTGTCCACGCCACCGTCGCGGCTGGCACGAGTAGGTCGACGCTCTCCCCGTCGCCAGATCTACGGCCGCTACTCCTGCCCGCCGCGGTTCGGGTCTCTTCCCTAGGCCACCACACACGCGCAGGCTGCTATGGGTGAGGCTTCGTCTAGTTCGTCGTTCATCCCAACAGCTGCCCTTTCTCTGTGTTGTCAGAATGTCCATTCTTTAGGTGGTTGGAAGACTACAAGGAAGTAGTCGCAAAGAAGCTTAAAGAAGATTTGCAAGCTGCAGTGCCATACGAAGGTCGAGGTGAAACTAAAACTAAGGACGAAATGAAGCTTAAAAGCATGATTTTTTATGAAGAGAGGATGTATCTCAAGATGGACATGCTTATCGATCTGGTCCAACTGCTGGTCGTGCTCTGTTTAGTCATGACTGTCATAGGTCTTTTAGGTGTGGTAGTGCTTATTAGCAAGTGAAGGAAGATTCTGTTGTATGACTCCTGGTGGTGGTCTGTTTAGTAACTGATATGTAGTAATGTGTTGTAATGACATCTAAGTCCTATGGAATGAAGTAGTTATTAGCTGAGAAGTTGTTTTCCTGAAATGAGCATGTGTTTTTCACTTGTTATGCAAACCATGTGGTAGAATTTGGACAGAATTTTGCTTTAATTTGGAATGGATTTTGGTAGAATTTGGACAGAATTTTGGTAGAATCTGAACAGATTTTTGACACAATTTCATGAGCACAATAATATTTCAAAAACATAGTAGTTCATATAAAGGTTCACACAATGCATAGGTACCATTAAGTTACATAAAGGTTCACACAATGACGTAGCTCCAGATGCATTCACTGAACGAAAAGATTTGATGGATTCTGTTCGCCTCCTCTGCTTCCAATCTGCATGCTTCTCTTCCTCAGTCTTGCCAGCGAAGAGGAGGCGTCGTTGCATTTGGTCCTTGGCATTAGTAGTAGCAGCGGCCAGCAGGCGTCTATCGGCGGCAGGCGATGCGGTTGAGCCAGGCATTGCGAAGCTGGAGGCCTAGAGCTCGATGGGGTCGCCGAAGCACTGCACCCGCGCGAGGCAGAAGTGCGTGCAGAACCCGGCCGACGAGCGGACGCGGCAGGTGTTGAGCACATAGCACGACGCGTACTCCATGCCGCGCCCCTGCACCACCAGCCCCCACACCTGCCGCGCCGCCTCTGAGGCGGAGGCGCCGCCGTCCGCGGCGGCGGCGACGGCCACCTGCTCGACCAGGATGATCCCGTCGGGCCTCCGCTGCCCGCCCGGCCCCCACCAGCGCCGCATGTCCGGCCCGCTCTCCGGCGCAGCGGGCTCCCGCCGCACCATCACGCACTCGCCCTCGCCGCCGTCGCTGCTGAACAGGTGCACCAGGAATGGCGCCTCCCGATGTGGCGCACGATCTCCGCGATCGACTCAGGGGCTCTCCGTGAACTCCCGTCAAAAAGACCGTGATCATGAAGAAACGAAGGGTTGGCTCCAGGGCAAAATGGGAAGAAAAAGATACCATAGCAAAAAAAAATATTAAATTTGGTAATTAATCCGCCATTCTAGCGGACGTGGCTCGTTTGATAACGATAAACAAGCGAATCTCATTTAACGAAAAAAGCGAAGCCGTGTAATAACGACAAACAGGCGAATCCCATTCGTGAAAAGACCGAAGCCCACGTTTCGAAACGGCAGAATCGCCATTTTCTCGTGCACGGAGGAATCAACCAACCAGAACCAGCAACGGAACGGGAGTAGCAGAGGCCAGAGCAGACGCGACGCCAAGTGGAACCAAACAGGCAAACGGAACGGAACCTCTCCTCGGCTCCTCCCTCCCGGCCTCCCCCCTTGGTTCGCTGCTGTCGCCCGCCACGGCGCCTCCTCCATTTCCAGATCTTCCCGCCGCCCCCAAAAATAGCGCCCACCAAAACCCTACCCTGCCTGCCCTTGCCCGCCCCTCCCCTCCCCTCTCCTCGCGGCCTCCGCCCCCGGCCCCAGCCACCGGAGTAATAAACCCTAGCCCCACCTCCGCCGCCGCCGCCATGTCCGGCCCGTCTGGCGCCTCCTCCTCGCGCGGCGTCGGCGTCGTCGTCGACCGGTTCTACAGCCCGCCCCACGTGCGCCGCCAGCAGCAGGAGGAGCAGCTGCAGCGGCTCAAGGACCTGGCCCAGGGCCAGGGGCAGCAGCGCCCGTCGTCCCCGGCGGCGGGGACGCTCACGCCCAGGGCCGCCGCCAGGCAGCAGAAGACGCCACCGGCCGAGACGCCCGCCCCGGTCAAGGAGCCCGAGAGGCGGGCCGCCGCCGCGCCCTCCAAGCCGCCGCCCGTGTCCGCGCCGCCGGCCTCCACCGCCAAGGCGGCGGATGCGGCCACCGCCGCTCCCCCGCCGGCGGCGCTGGATGAGGCGGGGAATCTCGACAGGTTCCTCAGCTCCACCACGCCATCTGTGCCCGTGCACTACTTGCCCAAGGTCTGCCTCCTCAGATTCTTGTTCCTCTTTCGGTGGAATTTTAAGTTGCGTGGTTGCCTTTGCTTGCAAGGTTGCGTTGCGCGTGCGTGCGTGCGTCCGGTGCTTGGTTTGACTGCGACGAAACGTTTATGGCTGCTAGAATCATGCTGCAAAACTGCTCCTGATTGTCAGATTTTTTGCCTGATGGTGCTGAATTCGTATTGCTGTTGTCAATCTTTGTGATTGGGGAAAGTTTGGGACCCGTAGCTGTGAAGATACTTTGCTTTTCTCTAGTGCCAAGTTACACCTCAACGATTGGAGAATTAAATTCGAGAATATTCCATTTTTCCTATATTTATGCCTACTTGTTTTATATCTGTGCTGCATGAGTGTGTTACTGTTGGTGATTTTTTAAAGTTTTTTACCTAGTACACAATTGGAAAGTGTTGCTAGAGCGATCAATATCAACTGCACTGATGTAGAAACCCTTTTCTTCAAACAAAGAACTGTTAGTTCAAAAGGTTGGGATGAGTTCCCTATGTTGATGTTGCAGTCAAGTGAGTCAGCCAGCCTAGGTTCTTTCCCTGGGCAAGCTGGTTAGGAAGCACTTAGTGCCAAAAAGAATCTGGTCAGTAGCATTATTTTATGGTCAGGCCAGCAGTCCTGCTTCCAGGAGGGGTACAATTTATATTCATAATAATAGAAAAAGGAGTTTTTTTGTGATAATTATTGAATATATTGCTTTTGAAGTTTTTTTTTGTTTCCTCGGTTTGGTTTATTTTATGATAAATGATGATGCATTTATCCAGACCAGCATGAGGGGATGGAGGATTGCTGATGTTACGAATTCTCGACCATATTTCTGCCTCGGAGATCTCTGGGAGGCTTTCAAGGAGTGGAGCTTTTACGGGGCTGGTGTCCCCCTTGTCTTAAGTGGAAGTGAATCTGTGATTCAGTATTATGTGCCATACCTTTCTGGTATACAGCTGTATGCAGACCCTTCAAAGCTTTCATCAAGGACCAGGTAAGATAGTGTATAAGATCAACATTTGTTTTATGTTCTTTATTTTTGTCAGATACAATTTTCTGTTCTTCAATAGCCTTGCTTTATAAACGTGAAACAGAAGGAAATAATCTCATGGCTTCTGAATCCTTTAAATTAGTTATGAACTTTGAACCTCCGTGCATTGTTTTTTTTTTTCTGTAATGAGGAGAGTGGATTTTTCTTATGGCTTGTATGCATTGTGCTGTTACCTTTTGGACCATCTTGACAACCAAAATATTCTTACTCTGTTTAGTCATTTACATCTCAAAAATCTGTATCATACAAAGGATTAACTTTCTTAAGAAAATCCAGGAAATTTGAATGCTTCAGTTTTTTTTTGTGGCTAGAGTTTAATATCAGAGGCTTAGTAAAATTTTATTTTCTTATCTATTGTTCGCATTTTCAGTTATTAAAAAGGTATTCTGATGTGACAGGATAGGGCCATCTGGTAGGCAGCAGATCGATTGGCCCATCGGATTTTTAATGGATTGTAAATAGGGATATGATTTATACTTATTGAACAATAAAAATGGTTTCAGTTTAGAAAATCCTTTCCTTTCTGATGGAGTCTAGAAAATCCTGTTGATGAATGGCATTAGCTAAGATTTGTTTTTCTGATTCCATGTAATGTAATATAAAGCTGTATATTGTCTATTGAGCACTTGATCATTCTTTGATCTAAAAAGAATGTGTACAGCTTTTCCCTAGTTCGTCTCCCAAGTGGTTTTGTAGTCAGGTTATGTCATAGTTGCCAATACGTCTTTTTGCTTGTTATTCACGTATGTGACACTCCATAATATTTGACTGCTCAGTATAAGAGCCTTTGATCTGGTTAAATTGCCAATGGAAATTGGAGTACTGATATGCAACTCATGTATTCACTTTTTGTATGTGGTCGTGAATCTGCTTTTAATATTATTCTTCCTTGACCTGTGAGACCTTCTTGTATTGGGGAGTTCTTTTGATTAATTCAGTTGTGGTTGATTGATCTATTGCTCAGCTGATCTTACTTTTCTTGAACTTGATTGATCATATCATGTTTAACTTGGTCGCCCAACATGATTCTGGACTGAAATAATTGTAAGAACAATGCAATGGGAGCAAGGAACCTCCTCTTCTACCCAAAACCACTTAAGCATTTTGTTGTTGCGCTTATTGGGTTAGCTTTAGATTGCCCATGAATAAATGTGTTCTTCAGGATATGTCTTATTACTGAAATTGGACTTATTGAAACTACCATCAGGATAGATGACTCTTTTTTTAAAGAGGTCAATTGCCATTGGATTTGACAGTCACTCATCCATTGTACATGAGTTGATTGAATTATCACATTTTTGGAGCCTAGAGCAGAAAGAGAGGATGTAAGTTAGTCCTTTTGCTGAGTCTTGATATTTCCTAATAATGCAAAGTTGCAAACAATACCTTTACTAGAATTTTGAGAAATCTAGTTTATTTTACCTGTATGATTTGTTGCTGTGTGTTTTGCAGCCTTACAACCTACAGGTCACTAGGATTTGCAAGTCTTTTAGCTGTGTATTGTTTATTGCGTGGAACCTAGTTCCACATAAGGACATCAAAATAAGCATCAAAACTAAAAGAAATCAACATGAATTGTCTGAAGGCTTTTTTTTCCCAGTATGGTTCTTTTCTTGGTTCTGCAGTTTCATAGCTCGTAACACTGTCTTAGTTAATTTTCTCGCTTAATTAAGGCATCCTTGGGAGGAAAGTGATGGGGAATCTATGGATACTAGCAGCGAAGGTAGCAGCGAAACTGATGCTGACCGATTAAGAAGCTCAACCGTGGAAGCTACATGTCAATTGGACGGTGGCTTTCAAAGGGATGGTGATGAAATGCACTCACCATCGACTCGGCCAATTTTTGAATATCTTGAGACGGATCCACCATTTGGTAGAGAGCCTTTAACAGACAAGGCAAGTCTTTATTTCGTATGTCAAATGAAATGTGACTAGATATGTTATTTGTTGACACTTTACTCTAAATTTCAATTCAGGTGTCAGTTCTTGCAAGTAAATTTCCAGATTTGAAGACATTCAGAAGTTGTGACCTGCTGCCAACCAGTTGGATGTCTGTTGCATGGTATGTCTATAATGCTCTTGGATTCTCTGACATCATTTACAATGCAACCTTTTTGAGTGGTAGCATCTCTGAACTGTGCTGCTCTTTTTTGGTTGATGTCTGTAAGCTTTTGACTATTCCATTTCTTATAGGACAAACTTCCCACTTTACCATTTTAAGTGTTTAAATAACTAATTCCCAACTTTATACCGATACCAAATTATTTTTTGTGTTCATTGCCACTACCAATATTTTTGTGAGACCTCATTTCACAGTTGTTGTGCTCTCTATCAGTTACTGGTGCTTATAAGTTTCTATATAGCAAGAATTATCATCCATGTGCTGTGGTTCAAATAGAGGGTACACTTCATATTGACTGATAGATTACAAAGGGGCACTTGCTAAATTTCAGTTAAATAACTTTTGTAAAATTTTAGAGCAATACTGTAACTGAAGTGTTGCTATGACTCTACATCAGTTTCATCCTGGGGCTTACAATTGCAGGTACCCTATCTATAGAATCCCAACTGGACCTACACTCAAGGATTTGGATGCATGTTTCTTGACATTTCATTACTTATCAACACCTTCCAAGGGTATGTTCCATCTTTTGCTGGTATCTAATCTTTTCTTGCACCAGATAAACTCCCCTCATTCTTTGTTGCTGTATGAGCTTCCATTCTTCAGTTCATTTGATAGCTAGAATCCTTTTTCACAGATACTGATCCCAGTACACCAGCATGCCTCAGTTTTGGGGGCCTTAATTGCTGTATGAACGCCGCTGGTAAACTAACATTGCCCGTCTTTGGGCTGGCATCATACAAATTGAAGAGCTCTATTTGGTCCTCAAATAGGCCTGAGGAGCAGCAGCTTGCAGCTTCGTTGATGCAGACAGCAGATGACTGGCTTCGCCATCGCCAAGTGTACCATCCAGACTTCCGATTCTTTCTCACCCACTACAACACAGCATTGAGATGACACGAGATGGCCGCATCTCGCTGTAAATTCTCTTTATTAGTATGTTATATGTTGGCTGAGCCGGGCTACCTGTAACACTATGTTGTTGATCGCGTAATGTAGCGCTTCTCTGAACTTTTTTGGTATGGTTCAGTAGTTCAAGCCAGACAGCTAATTTGTAACTTCTCCAATAATGCTTTTGATGTAGGTAAACTTTTGAGAGTAAACATTATGGAGATCTGTAAAACAGAAACTGATGGTTATAAATTTTTTAAACTTATAGACTTGAGAACACATTGCTTATCATTCAGTTTCACCTCGTATTATATGTTTTCATCAAAGATCCATAATATTTGGGGCTTTTAAAGCAACAATCAGTTTCTGTCTTTCCAAAAGGTGACCTCTGAAGCTCTTACAAAATCTAGCGACAAAAATGAAGGATTGTGCGGTGGTTGTAGATGTCATTTTACTTTGAATCGTGTGGGCTAAAACTCCTTTTCCAGAGCAAGTGTCTTGGAAAGTGGAAACAAGGAATAAGTCCGTTTCTGTCCCACCAACTCTTGTGTAAATTAGCCAACATTTAGATACTGTCTAAAATTGGTGCCGACTATCAAATCCATTTGGTTCTGATGCCATCTAAGGTGAAACCAAGCTGGGTATGAATTTGAGTGTTTGCATCTCCTCCTTTTAGGTATGAAATTTTGGAGGATTGTTTTTTTTTCCTTGCCTTCTCTATGATTGCCTAGCCCATGAGGCACTTTTTGAGCTTATAAGGCGGTTTAAAAACTCCGCATCCGAGAGTGCTCTTGTTTTCTTGGACCATGTTCAGCCGAAGGATGATTTCCTGGCCCATGTGAAAATTCAGTCAAGCGTCTAAGATGATGGATCTATTCCATGATCAAAGGTCAAACGTCATTGTGTAAAGTTTCTGCGACGATGAGTTAGGTTGTTCCATGCCTGCTTGACTATCTCTTGGAAGCAAGACCCGCACGTCCAGAAATTTTCGAATTTGAAAGGCGTGGGATGACGAGGTTCAAATTGATTGGCCACGAGGAATAGGCAATGATCCGGATGCGAGGAGGATAATACGTGTAGTGTATTATGGTTATCAAAGGTGAAATCCCAATTTTCATTGCAGAAGGTTCTGTCGGCAGACGAAAGTCATTTGACGTCTTTCATTATTCCATGAAAATTTCCTATTCAGGAGATATATTCTTTCCGATCGTAAAAATTTAGCGTCGCTCTGAATCTCTGCATGAGGCTAAAGTTGAGGGCATTTTTGTCTCTAACTCTATAAATTGAAATATCCTAGGATAAGCCACTTTTGTGTGTGTACTTTTAGAGTGCGTAAACAATGTAGGGACATACTTTCTTGTACTGTTAGTATGAAGTTAGAAACATTATGCCTCACCATTATAGTGTCCTATCACCATATATATTATATATTTTTTAGGACATATGCAGCATATATTGAGTGTTCTATCTACTCTCCAATATTATAGTTATTCATTTATATCTTTGGGATTCTTACATTTTATTTTATGATGGCACATGGTTGGCTTCTAAAATTGGTCAAGTATAAGTTTCTTTGTGAGGCTTGTAGTTTTTATTTTATTTTACTTGGACTTTAGAAAAATTTTGCTTGTATTCGTACGGTGAAGGATATTTCCAATCCACCGCTGGTTACATCCGGCTCAAGCGCTCAGCCGTCAGTCAGCCCAACCGAGTTCGAGTAGTCGACCGATCGAGCCGCCCTCATCCTTTGTAGGCTGTCGGCCCGCACGCCGCACGCACCCTCCGCGTTGATCTCCCGATCCGGCCACCGCTCCACCTCTCTCCCATCTCACGCCAACGCCCACCGGCGTTCTCGTTCCTCCGTGCCGGCGAGCGGCGGGGAGGAGGGAGCTTTCCACCTCGTCTCAGGCACCCTCTGGCGTCCTCCCGCCGTGTCGGCGAGCGGCTGAGATCCACCGTTCTGACCTCGTCTCCCACTGCTGGTACGCAATCGCTATCCTTCCGTGACGGCTTGTTCGTTTCGTTCTGTGGGATCTTCTCCTTGCGGTTGCGGCCGCGGAACCCTAAATATCCGAATCGTTCTCTTTGGTGGGGAGGATCTGATCTGATCTGATCTGATCTTCAGCACTCTGTTTGCGCTGGTGTGGATTAGTTCTGTTTGCGCTGGTGTGGTTTTAGTTTTCATCAGGATTTGTGGGGGGTTGAAACCTTGTTCGTCACGTTGAGTTGAGTCCGCCATCTGGGTTGCGCTTCAGTGGCTTAGCGTGCGTTCGGTTGACGGCACGGTATTTGGATCGGAGTCACGGAGGGACGGCGACAGAAGAGGCGACCGCATCTGGATCTCGGTGGCGGCGCCCTCCCTGGCGGCCGTGACCCTCGCTCTGTCCATCTCCAACAACGGCGACGCTCTCCCTCATCCTCGGTGCTGGCGGGATCTCGGCTCCCTTGACAAGGTAAGGAGGCCCTAGCACCTGGAAACCTGTTTCGTGTTGCACGAGATTATAAACATGAGTTATTGGTTCCTGAAGAAACATGAGTTTCTGAAGAGGAAAATATACCAATGTCCATCCGCTCTCAGTTATAGTAACTTGCACATCAAAGCAACTACAGTTCCGAATTGTGAGGCATAAAGCAATTTGGGGCTACATTGTGAAGCACAGAGGAAAAAACTTCGATGTGTGAGTAGCCGCCGCCAACTTTACTGATAACTGAAGATTCACCCACTTACAAGTCCATCCATGACTACTCCTTAGGTACTACTACTATATTTAGTTTTGTCAAGAGTTCATCTCATCTACTTCTACATGAGTTCTTGAGAGTACTGATCAGGTCCTGATATAGAGGCCAGATCATTAATTTAATACAAGCCTTAAGCAAGAATTAGAAGCAGGAAAATTACACGAAAGCGCACTTAGCCGCTTAGGCACTGGTAAAGACATGAGTTAAAACGGGGCCATTGGATGGCTGCTGAACGCTTCATATTGAAATCAGTGAAGAGTTAAGATGGGTTGATGGCTTGCTCTGTAGCTTTCTGAATGTAAGTCTGAATGTAAGGATCGGGGGTTGCCAGATAAATATTTCTGAACTATATGACAGGATTGATGGTTTAGTGGTTGTAAAATAGCAAATCTTGAAAATTATATATCTCTCCTCTTGTAGGTACTTGGCTACTTGCTAGTTCATAGTACATTGTTCAGTTGGAGGTCCGTACATTTTAAAAACGTTAGACAAAAAAAGCATCAACACAAGAGCATCTCGAATGTTGCACGCAATTGTAAACTTACCTGATTCAGCACATGCAGTACAATTTGTGAACTTGACACTATGTGTTTGAGAAGAATATCCCTTACAGTAAAGACTAGGACAATTATACTTGTGATTTTATTTGTGTAAATTTGCTCTAAGTAAGCTGGACAATGATCATGGAATAGCGACATGTTTGTTTTGTCATTGCTTCTTGCTTGGGGTTTCAATTTACCATGCTTGGTTATCCGGGTAAAGGGGACACTAGACAATAGGGGTTATGTAGGAAGGAACAGGGTGATCTGTTGGTTACACCTAATGACATGAAAATCTTGAACGTATAGCTGTACAGCCTATTTGTAGTTTTCAGTTATTCCCCAGTAATCCTAACCCCAACTTCATGTTAGCCAATAGAATATAGCTCTTCAAGGAATTTTGGAAGACCAAAAGTTTGTTGCATGGAACATGGCAAACATTAATAGCCTCATATATGTGATCAGTAACAACTCATTGATGTGTTAAACCATAGCCGAACAGTCTGGATGATAGCAACCATGATTGCTTGTTATCCTACTAGCCACCTTGTGCGGATAGGCTGTGCGAAAGCTAGTTTTCCATGCATAATAATTTGTATTGGTTCTTCAAAACGCCTCATCTGGCTATGGAATGTTTCAACTTTAGACTTCATATTCATAAGGATCCAATCATACTGTTCATGTTTCTGTTTAACACAAGCAGTGTCCCCGCTCTGCTTTGCCCTGCTGTTGGATCTGGTGAGGTATGAAACAAAAAGAGGAAAGTGCTAAATATGCAATCATTAATTTGTTGTTTTGATGTTGTTACAGTTGTGAAAGGAAGCTACTTCTGTCACCCCAACCTATCCAATTGTTTTGCGTTTGTTGTGCTTCCCTGAACATGCATAACATTTGATATTTTGATGTCCAACTGTGCAAGGTCTCTTAGTCCTATTTTAGCTCATCATGGTGCCACTTCTTGACCCCTTGCTATCTCTACATATTGTGTATGAGGCTAGCTTATGGTAGATTTCTTACTCCAAAAAAGCTGTTCATTTGTATTGCCAAAAGCAGCTTCAGAACCCCCTTTTTTTTCATGTTAATTGCATTTTCACAGGATCTTCCTAGGTACTATCTACTAAATGTTATTTATCTCACTCAAGGTTTGTGTTATTAGGTCATGGTTCACAAACTTTTTTTTCCTGATATGCAGTATTTGTTGGTTTTCGGAGTTGATGCTAAGCTTGCTTATTTAATTAAACTAGAAATATGTTACCAATGTTAGCACCAACTTGCCTATCATTCATGTAATTGAGATTTAATTTGTCCAATTGTCAGTTTAACGGGCTATGCTTTTGAATTTATGCTGATGATTTGATTTAATTTAATTGCATGCAGACTTGTGAACAAGGCAGCAGCATAGTTCAGTTTGGAAACATGTCATCAAAGAAGATAGAGTTGGATCACAAGGACTTTGTCCATGATTCTGCCATTGACTACTATGGCAAGCGCCTTGCCACTGCTTCCTCAGACTCTACCGTGAAGATCGTCAACATTGGTGCGGCAAATGCCCCATCCCAGGTCCTTGCAACGCTTAGTGGCCACTATGGTCCTGTGTGGCGTGTTGCGTGGGCCCATCCAAAGTATGGTGCTATCCTTGCATCCTGCAGTTATGATGGCCATGTCATTATTTGGAAGGAGGATGCACGAGGCAATTGGTCTCAAGTCCATGTGTTCAGTGACCAAAAGTCATCTGTCAACTCCATTGCTTGGGCTCCGTATGAGGTTGGTCTGTGCCTTGCCTGTGCATCTTCTGGTGGAAGAATATCCATCTTGACGATGCGATCTGATGGGGGTTGGGATACTTCAACCATTGAGCGAGCACATCCTGTTGGTGCGACTGCCATATCCTGGGCTCCTGCAACAGCATCACTAGCTGGTGCAGGGGAGCTTGTGTACAAGCTCGTCTCAGGAGGGTTTGACTCTGTCGTTAAGGTCTGGGGATTCAACAATGGTAGCTGGAAGCTGGAGAGTGCTCTTGTCTCTGACATGCACACAGATTGTGTGAGGGATGTCGCATGGGCACCAGTTTTGGGATTGGCCAAGTCGACCATTGCCAGCGGTTCACAAGACGGGAAGGTTGTCATCTGGACCAAGGGAAAGGATGGAGACAAGTGGGAGGGAAAGCTCATGCGTGACTTTGGTTCCCCTGTCTGGAGGGTGTCCTGGTCCTTGACTGGGAACATATTGTCCATAGCCGCTGGTGAGAACAACATAACCCTCTGGAAGGAAGGGTCAGATGGGCAATGGGAGGAGGTGATGAAGGTTGAACCATAGGATGCCCGTCAAGGTTTCTGAGTTTCTTGTAGATCCATGTTTCGATAAAGATAAAATTTGTCATTGTGTTTTACTAGTGTTTCGATAAAGACAGAGTTTGCCATTGTGTTTTACTAGTGTTTCTTGCAGATCCATGTTTCGACATAGACCAAGTTTGCCATTGTGTTTTGATAAATACTGAACTCACTTATTCTAGTACTTTCTGATGAGCAATTATACTCTTGGATGGATCCGGTGCGCTTTAGAATGATAACTTCTGATTGGTTGGCCTGTTCAGTTCTGTATATCCTAAACTTTGTTTTTGGTGGAACATCAGAGCTGCTAGAAGTAATGTTATCTATTATGAACATTGTAGCATTTTTTTTTATGCTGTTTGCTGCGGTTATTGTATCGCTGCTCCTGATTCCTGAATCCTGGTGCACCATCGTGTAAATTTTAGTGTGGTGGTCATCCAGGTTGAACCGGTGCCGGTGCCACGCCCTTTGGACGACGGCTTGTGTTAGCAAGTGCGCTTCCTGTCTGCATCTCCGGGGACGGAGCTGGGACTGGGGGACGAGGGAGGCCAAATGAGATATGCAATGGAGTAATGCAGGGTCAAACATGAAAGTCTCTTGCATCCATGATCCATCATATGTTTCTGAATTGGGATAGTCAGATTCAGTCTTTCTTTCGTATCAAAGGACGGTTCTTTCTTGGGATTGGGGGACGATGGATGACCTTTCTTGAACTTTGAAAAATGATAGAGTAACTTTTCAGCAGGTCAAATTTGACTTCTTTTGGCTGTCCAATGGATGATCATATGTTTCTAAATTCAAATGGGTCGTAGATAGTCAGATTCAGTCTTTCTTTCGTATCAAAGTCAGTTCTTTCATTGAATCTTTCTTTCCTCTCATTTGCATGACCTTTCTTGAACTTTTGAAAAGATGAAAATAGGTATTGAACCTTTTACCTGTAGCGCTACCCACATATAGAATGGGTCTTGTATTTTGGGTGATATTGTTGAAGACAGTCTAAGCTAAGCAATTATTAACGGAACGGGCAAGAGTGATCTTCAAAAGCAAAGGTGGCTTTCCCACTTACAAATCCGTAATAGTAAAGTAAGAGTAAGGTGCGGATAGCGGACACTTTCCATAATAGAAACCATGTGGTTTCTATGTTCATTAATTAGAGTGCCAACTAAGCTAAAAAGATGATGTGGCACTGCAATTAAAGAAGAGAGAAGGAAATGGTTTCTTAATAAGAAATTATGTCTACACGAGAGAGAGATGATAGGTTAATGGGTGAGAGAGAAGACATGTGATTGGGTAAAAGATCATTATATAGAAACTATCCATTGGGAATATAGTTTCTATATGTAGTGTCTATATAAATTAAATAGATATAGAAACTATATGTGGTTTTTAGTATTGAGAGTGCCTAAAGTGCTTAATCCTGAGAAGATGAGAGACGTCAATTGTTAGAGCACTCTTGACAAGCATGCCTGCCTATTTGTTCTTGAACTCTGCCATGCTTTGCTCATTGTCTGCAATTCAGATGGAACTTAAGTGTAGGATCAGTGATGTGATGTGCAATTAGTCTCAATGCTTAACATGACAAGCTTCTACAATAATTCAATGCTCTTGTCATTCCGGTGGGATAAAAGTAGGAACAGAACAAACGATCGATTTAAGCATATCCATATCATATATAAGAAATGGATATGTTTCGTAGTACAAAAGAAAATTTTTTTTTTTCAAAACATCAAGGATAAATAATTCACAGAAAAACTAAAAGACGCTCCATTATAAACAAGATTCCACACTCTGAAGTCTGAAGTCTGAACCGCAAGACACCATGTCCGAAACCTGCAACTCAAACGCTTGAGTAGGGATGAATGTAACATCCGTCGACTGCTCCTCCAAACACTTTGCTGAACATGGACTCGTCTGTTCGCTTGAACCTATCAGCGACTTATCAGTTAAAATTTATAGTATTTTTTTTATAATAAATCAGCTTCAGCCAGCTTATCATGCGGCTTTAATACCGGCCGAAAGTATTTTTCTCATACCGGCCGAACAGGATGCACATACTCCTCCTCCTCGAATTGCGCTGGAAGAACCTTGTCCAGCTGAACAGTCTTGCACAACACCCAGTTTGCAGCAGCATCGCTGAGCTCTGCCTCCCTCTCCCAGAACTCGATGCTACGCCTAGACAAGACGGCCAGGCAAAAGCGGCCATCGCCATCGCCAGCTGCCTGCCGGCAGGATCCAGGACAAGCAGCCGAAATCGATCCACAGACCACAGCATCTGCAGGTCCGGAGGGTGCGGTCGTTGCTCGATGATGGAAAGGCTCCGTGTCCCCAGATAAAACGGACGATCTCGCCGTCGAGAAGAAACCAGTAGATGGCGTTACCGACAAGGCTGCTTGGGTGGTGTATGGCAATAGTATTGAAAGGCGACGGAGGAAACACGGCGGCGACGGCACTGGCCCAGGTACCTGAATCCGACGAGTAAACGGAGGCGGTCAGTCGCAGTGCTTCTGCCGTCGTGGCGAACTGGGCGAACAGCGCGACGAGGACGAACGAGCGGCCGTCGTCGGCGGTGCCTCTGCCGCCGCCCGCAACCGCAACTGAGAGCACCGTGGAGGCCAAAATGACATCTCCCTCATGCTGTAAGATGCCTACGTGGCTCCGGTGCCCGGTCATGAGGTCGACCACCATGAACTCGCTGGCGAAGCTTTCGCCTCTGTAGCACAGGACGAGCCCGTGCCGGCAGCAGTGTACTGCCCAACCGTGCCACGAGAAGCGCGAAGCCGGGAGGCGGTCCGGGGGCTCCTGGGTGGGGACAAACCTGCTGCTGAGGTCGACGATGAAGCCGTGGAGGGGAGGCGTCCGGCGGTGGAACGCGCGGAAGCGGCGGACGAACCGGGGGTCGGTGACAAGGCGGCGCCAGCGCTTGCACACGAGGCCGACGCGTGGGAGCGTCGAGGGCTGCGGCGGGAGACGGAGGAGGATCTCCGCGAGAAGGTCGTCGTCCTCCGGCAGCGGCGCCGGCGACGCCGAGGTGGGCTGGAGGCGTTTCATCGAGTGGGACTGGGATTTGGGATATGGGCCGCCCGCGTGAGCCCATATAAATATAAGCTCGCCTGCTCGCGCCTCCTGTTTGCTGAAAAGTTTATACGAACCTTCCAGACAAAGCTAATCAAGGCATGCATTTCATCATGCAGCTTCCACGGCAATGGACCTTCCCCCGAGCATTGTTTTTTTTAACGAACCTGATTATATCATCATCACATCATCTCATATCATCTCATCTCATTATAAAAGAAGTTTTTTTTTGAGAGGTGTTTTCCTCTATAATAACATTTCGATCCAGACATCATGTTATATAACCCCTCCATTATCAAGATCTTACATATAAGATGTAAAACTCCTCCTAAGTGAAGATTTCTCCAACTCCGATAGTCCTGTAATCTCAAGATTCCTCTAAACCTCGTGATCCTGTAATCTCACGCTAACTGTTCCGGGCAACCTGGACCCACCTCCCACACCTATTTTTTTCACCGCAATATCCCACATCTGCCTGCCGTCTCTTGAATGACGCCCCTTCCCCCATTGCAACGTCGCTGCTTGTTGTCTCACCCGTCTCCAACAAACTCATGATCGATCGATTCAAGTTGTGACCCGTGGAGATCCAATGAGTTGCAGTATCTTGACAATATGTGCATGTGTATGTGCAGGAGTTCCGGGCTTCCGGCCACATGATGCGCCGCCGGCTCGTCGATCGCCGCTCTGTCTGTTGCCTGTTATGTCTCAGTGTTGGTGTTGGTGTTGGTGTTGGGCCGCTGCCTTGCATGCCTCGTTGGGCGGCCACCGTCCAGTGAGGCAAGGACCCCATCTCCTAATCTCCAACAGACACAACGGCGGCCGACGCATACGGCAAGACCAACTAAGCAAGCACATGTACAAAGCAGAAGCCTCAGCTCTCAGGTGTTGCCAACCTTAATTCCCTCCGTCCTTCACATCACATTTAGACACGTAGTCAGTCAATCACATATCATCTACGTTCTAATTTATATTATCTCAAGTCACAATTGTTTATGAAGAGCGTTCTGGCTTCTTGAATCTTGGTACACATGTAATTTATTTGTGAAACTGTTCAAGTTGTTATAACGAAATTTCAAACTTAATTTTAATTTAAGACTCAAATTATTATTCAGTGTTTAAACTTGAATCAGAGTGCAAATATATCCTTATGTGAAATCCTAGATCCACCACTGATGATGGAACATACTATGTACGACGACGACGAACTCAGGGTCTATGACAAGGCCACAGCCAACTGGCCACTTGCGTCTATGTGTGCATATGCATGCTCTCGATGGATCGCTTCATCAAATTAATAAAGCGTGACTTGGTGAAGGTTAGCTATTTTCTATTCTATTCTTATCCAATCTTCATAATATTGCTAATTGGTTAGGGTTCTTTGCTCACATGTATAGACACATATTTTTATCCTAATTAAGCTCCTGAACACTACTGATCTCATTGTCGTCTTTACTGATATATGCATTAAGAAGTAAGGAATAGATATTCATGGAGTTTGAAGCTAATGATTTAGTCTGTCTAGCGTAATATTTATTGTCTAAAAATGTTTTTGATAAACACGTGCGTGTCGCACGTGCGTATTTGCTAGTATTAATAAAGAATAGCAAATGATGATCCAAAAAAGGTTACAGATGCAAACAACAACTACTATTACGACGATTAAAACAACTATGTCAACAATGACACTCTACAACAAGAGCACACACCAACAAAGTTGAAATAGCACCAACACTAACAAAGTGAAGGCAATGTAGACGAAGAGGCAAGAGGCAAAGAAAAACCCCGTCAACAAGTTCTAGAAAGCACGACCTTTTAAACCCATCGAAGGTTTGAGATGGTCTAGTAGTAACAATTCTTGAAGATGGTCTGCGTAAGCCCTTGAATTGCTTTCTCATTGTGCTTCTCGTCCTCCCC